GGGTCTTGGAGCTGATATTAATAAAATCATAAAAACTAAGACAGCATAGTGTGAACAAAATAAAGCTAATGGGATTCTTTATATAATAATAATGAATAATAATAATTAATTTTGTATACAGAAAAGCGTACATTCGATATACAACATTGTATGGCGTTAGTATTAGGAATATATAAGTTAAGCACACTATGGGCTCACCATAGCCCGTGCTACTTGGAACTTTTTGTTCCAGGTAGCCAATCTTAATCAACAACAACAAAAGTTAAACTAGAACAGGGGTTCTTAACCTTTTTTTTTTTTTTTAATAATTGAAGGACCCCCCAGTGAACCACCCAGTAGTTCCATTGTCCTCTTAACCAGGGGCCAGATTCCCGAAGCAGTTACGCAAGCACTTACGAACGTGTACATCTTTCCTCAATCTTCGACGGCTTTGGTTACATTTATTAAACAGTTTACAAGCATGAAAACTTGCCAATCAACTGTTGTTATTGTTATAAACAGCCTCTTGGTGCTTCGGAGCTCATTAACTGTTTAATAATTGTAAACAAAGCCGCAAAAGATTGAGAAAAGATGTACAGGTTCGCAAGTGCTTGCGTAACTGCTTCGTGAATCCGACCCCAGACTGTTGAAACCACCACTACCACAACTACCAGCCCAGCGGGTACCAGCACGACTTTTAAAAGATACCAGTATCTTGTCCTTACTTTACTTGTGGATAGCTAAGAAGAAAAAGATTTGATCGTGTTTATAGTTAATTCTAGTAACATTTTATTTTAATTATTCAGAGATCGATTCCCATACCACAGTTATTACGTGTCCATACCCAAAGGGGGTATCCCATACCCCTCGGTTAAGGAGCAATGTTCTCGCCACTCCTCAGAATGGTCATATAATAAATATTATATATATATATATATATATATATATATATATATATATATATATATATATATATATATATATATATATATATATATATATATATATATATATATATAATGTGAAGCAAATATATATGTGTACATACAAAAGAATGGGGGTGGTAGAAGATAATATTAGTGTTCAGTGAGAAACCACAAGGTCTCCTCTGAATACTTTTTATTTTCTTCTCCGAGGCTATGGGTCCCCACATTGGCACCAGAGGTGGTACCCTCACAAATTTATATATATATATATATATATATATATATATATATATATATATATATATATATATATATATATATATATATATATATATATATATATATATATATATATATATATATATATATATATATATATATATATATGGGATATATGGGGGGGGACCTCCAGTTCATAATGGCAGAGTTAAACCAAACATCGAAAATGATCTTCGCGGAGATGGGCTAAGGTCACTTTCCTCCCGCGGGGGGGGGGGGGAGGAGTGTGTATTATTTACCTGACATGAACAAACTATTCAAATCTATACATACATTTTAGATTTAGAAACGCTGCTTAGAAGGAACAATTATTTTGGCAATAATTAGAGTTGGTGGAGGCAAACAAAAAACGGGGGGCGGGGTCTGCCCAGCATCATCACCGAGACGCAAATCTTAATGCGATTTAAGAATAAGTTAGGCTGACGAACGAGTGAAAGTGGTTGCGTGCGTGCGTGCGTGCGTGTGTACTCACCTAGGGTTTCCATGTTTTGTGGGAAATTCGAAGTTTTCTCGAATATGAACAGTATTTGACCATTCCTCAGAAAGCGACCCACAACGGTCGACTAACAACCAAGTTCCTAATTACTGCTAGGTGAACAGAGGCAACGGGTGCAAGGAGACGCGCCTAGCTGTCTCGCCCTGCCCAGTGAGTGAGTGAGTGAGTGAGTGTGTGTGTGTGTGTGTGTGTGTGTGTGTGTGTGTGTGTGTGTGTGTGTGTGTGTGTGTGTGTGTGTGTGTGTGTTAGTGTTATAACGAGACCATGCAGGGTCCTGCACGAGTCAGTATGCATCTACCTAACAGCCTCGTTCTGTTGCTATGTTGCAACATCTACCGATAGACGCATCGCAACATCCGTTGCTACAGCATCTACGAAAATACATCGAATTATTTATACTTGTGCAACATTGCAAGCTGATCCGAGACGAGCTAGGGAGATGGATGTGTGTGTGTCACTCGGTATATATAAGCCAGGATAAGCACAGATGAGTTTGGCCAGAAGCTGGATGGGTTCCCGTGCCACCAGCCTCACCCTTGGAGTACATGCCCCCCCCCCCTCCCTCGAGGTTCCTGCACCACTAAACAATTTCAGGTACATCCCACTTAAAAAAGCATCCGCTGAAGTAACATCACAATATCTGCTAATTCCACCACATCATCCACAACATGCCCAGGATCACCGCAACATGCCCAGGATCACCACAACATGCCCAGGATCACCACAACATGCCCAGGATCACCACAACATGCCCAGGATCACCGCAACATCCCCAGGATCACCACAACATGCCTAGGATCACCACAACATGCCCAGGATCACCACAACATGCCCAGGATCACCACAACATGCCCAGGATCACCACAACATGCCCAGGATCACCACAACATGCCCAGGATCACCACAACATGCCTAGGATCACCACATGCCCAGGATCACCACAACATGCCCAGGATCACCACAACTTGCCCAGGATCACCACAACATGCCCAGGATCACCACAACATGCCCAGGATCACCACAACATGCCCAGGATCACCGCAACATCCCCAGGATCACCACAACATGCCTAGGATCACCACAACATGCCCAGGATCACCACAACATGCCCAGGATCACCACAACATGCCCAGGATCACCACAACATGCCTAGGATCACCACATGCCCAGGATCACCACAACATGCCCAGGATCACCACAACTTGCCCAGGATCACCACAACATGCCTAGGATCACCACAACATGCCCAGGATCACCACAACTTGCCCAGGATCACCACAACATGCCCAGGATCACCACAACATGCCCAGGATCACCACAACATGCCTAGGATCACCACATGCCCAGGATCACCACAACATGCCCAGGATCACCACAACATGCCCAGGATCACCACAACATGCCTAGGATCACCACATGCCCAGGATCACCACAACATGCCCAGGATCACCACAACTTGCCCAGCCTCACCACAACATGCCCAGGATCACCACAACTTGCCCAGCCTCACCACAACATGCCCAGCCTCACCACAACATGCCCAGCCTCACCACAACATGCCCAGGATCACCACAACTTGCCCAGCCTCACCACAACATGCCCAGGATCACCACAACATGCCCAGGATCACCGCAACATGCCCAGCCTCACCGCAACATGCCCAGGATCACCACAACATGCCTAGGATCACCGCAACATGCCCAGGATCACCGCAACATGCCCAGGATCACCACAACATGCCCAGGATCACCGCAACATGCCCAGGATCACCACAACATGCCCAGGATCACCGCAACATGCCCAGCCTCACCGCAACATGCCCAGCCTCACCACAACATGCCCAGCCTCACCGCAACATGCCCAGCCTCACCACCGGGGAGGAGTCACCCAAGGGACTCACCCATGCCCCCAAAGACACCCCAGCATCCAGCACGAGCAACATACAGGGGGGGATTATCACCGACATACATCTGGGCACACTTTACATTCAACAAATTGTGTGTAAATTAATCAACTAATCGGCTCTGCGAACCGCTGTCCCTCTCTAAATGTAAATATTAAGAAAATTGACACTGAACTATTAGCTGAGAGCAACAGCCTTGTTGACAGGGTGAGAACGCCTAGTAGGGTGGGTAATAGGGTTATCAGGGTGAAAATAGCCCTATTAGGATGAGTAGGCCTACTAGGATGGCACTAGCCCTATTGGGGTGAGAAAAGCCATTTTAGGGTGAGACGCCCAATCAGGGTGTGACAGTGCGTAGCCCTAAAAGGGTGTGACAGGGTTACTCTTAATTTTATCCAATGAAGCCTCATGTGACGCATTACCAGGAGAGGTTAAGCAACATTAGGTCTGGCAAGTAGGTGGACAGGTGAGCACGTTAACCTCACCCTTGGCTAGGGTGAAGAGCCCAGGAGGGTCATCTGATAGCATTGTTAAATGAATTGTGTTTAGGGAATATTTTATACGGCTTACAATTATAATATTCAAACGCTGTTATATTCCTAGTTAATAACGCAAAAGTTGGTATAATGTTTACAGTTCAAGTTGTATTAAGTATTCAGTTCGTGTTGGAATTTTTCGTTATATTGTATAATTATAAACGTATACTTTTAAGTATTGTGTTTTGCTATATGTTGCCTATATCTCAAGATCGTCTTACGTCTGTACGAATGTTGCGTTCGATTCCACCTACATTAAAAATGAATGTATTTGAGCAGAGTTGTACCACATGGGTTAATCATGTAATCTAAATGTAAATTGCCAATTGATTTACATTTAAATCGCGATATTAACAAATGTTTTAATCATGACCGGGGAAGAAATTCCAGTTTTCTGAAGTCGGGAAAGCAAGATGTTCATTGTGTGAAGTGGCAATAGAGGGAAGCACTTATCACTTCCGACCGGTTCTCTAAACCTTAAATATGAGGTCACGAATTGCTTGTTATGTGCGAGAAGGTCTAACAGTTTAATCATAAACCATTGAGGGCCCGGAGCACGTTCCCGGGCAGCCGTGCCCTACGTCCTTACAAGAGCCGGGAAGATCACGTCTGGACGCAAGAGTGCGAGCCCCACACCTTCCCTACCGTGCCGCCTGCTGGCCGCCGACTGAGGATGGTCGCTCCTCCCCTCGGTGCGCGCAGCGCGGCTCCGCCCACTCCACACCACTTCCACCAATCACCGCCAAAGCCACGCCACTCCAGCACCCCAACAACCAATCATAATGGCACTCGCAACGCAAATAATTGAGTGAGCCAGCTATCAGTTGATTGTTTGATTTTTGTAACTATTCGATTTGAAATCCGATCCAATAGCAGTTGTAGAGTTGTAGTTTGTATCTGAGGGAGAGTGTGTGTGTCTTGGTGGTGGCGCGCGGACGTGTATACCAGACGGACTCACTATGAGTACAGAGGCCCTCATGGAGGCCAGCGCTACCCAAGGCGGACGACCTCCGGTGTCGTCGCCGCCTCACAAAAGTCCCTCTCCTCCGTCGTCGACTTCGCTGGCGTCGCACCTACTGGCGGCCGTGTCGCAAGTCCAGAGCCTGACGTCGCAGTTGCCTCCTTCTGTGCCCATACCCACGTCCTCGCCGCCCGGTCTGGGAGGATATCGCCATGGCATGCTGGGAGGAGGTATGCCGCACCAGTTCCACCTTGGAGCCGAGCCTCCCATGTCCTCCCTGCTGGCCGGACTCAAAGACTTTCCCCGTCAGTACCATTCGCCACCGCCGGTTCCTTCGTCAGAAAGTCACGAGTGCAAAATTGTGGACTATCGCGGAGCCAAAGTGGCGGCGTTTATCATTAATGGCGACACCATGTTATGCCTACCACAAGCCTTTGAGTTGTTCCTGAAGCACTTAGTGGGCGGGTTACACACCGTCTACACCAAGCTCAAGCGCTTGTCAATAGAACCCATCGTGTGCAATGTTGACCAGGTGCGCATCTTACGAGGCCTCGGGGCCATCCAGCCGGGGGTCAACAGGTGTAAACTGCTCTCAGTCAAGCACTTCGACATCCTCTACAAGGACTGCACCACCGCCAGGTACGTGTACGCTACTCCTGCTCTGTTGTCTTCCTAGCGGCTGGTCACTCCTGAGGCTGCAGTGGGGCGGGTGGACGGCTGCCAGTTCCCGGTGACAGCTATTGATAATCCTCGATTCAGCACACGTTAATATTGGGATTTTTGTCTTATCTCGGATCTTAAGACGGGATTTATGGGTGCATTTTCGAGCATCGTATTCTGCAGAACAATATCTGAATTCGTGAGTGAGCGTCTGTGATTGCATTAGAATATACTTCACAATAATGAAGTTATTATATACTTCATAATAACAGGTGTGTGTGCTTGGGCAAAAGCACACAGCCGTGTCTGAGAGGTGCATCCAGTGGGTAGAGTGGTGTCTGCTGGCTAGGACCGCTGCACACCCTTGTCATCCCCCCACAACACTTTCTCCCACTCACTCTCAACACAAACTTGATCCCTGAAGGTGTGCCGCGACGCGTGGTGACCAGTCCTCGACGATCATAACCTAATGTTTGATTAGTGTTGTTCGCAAGACAGTCACACACAAAATACATATCCTTATTATTCAGCACACTTTGTACTCCCCCTCTCACAATAGCCCAGAGGAGTTACATAAATGCAGATGGATCAATGTGTGTTTAAACATAACAAAAATATTGATAGAATTACGCTGGAAGAGTGAGACGTCGTGAGGTGGGAGAGATATAGCCTAAGGGGAGAATCCTGGACATTGATTTTTGAGTTAGCATATGTCACTGGTACGAAAGTATTATTTTAAGTTACAACTTTTAGGTATTCACGCTGCACCAGTTACCGAAGTGCTGTGCAGAGCATTAGAAGTTGTGGGGTTCAAGTTCAAGTATGTTTATTGAGACAAGAAAATACATCTCAAAGGGATAGAGTAGCTTAGCCTATTTCTACCCCCTCTAAGTTATGGGATTAACATTTAGCGAGATACACACTAGATATATAATGTCGTACCTAATAACCAGAACGTACTACTTAGCCTAGTATGTAAAACCCGATTTGCCTAACAGGCAGTGATTTTTTGTTTTCAAACATTTTTATGAAATTGGTTTATTTGAATTAATATAATTATATTAAATAATATGAATTACTGTTTAGTTATGTTATGTTAGGTTTGGTCATATTTCTACGGCAGTTTTAACTTGCATTTAAAAACTTATAAGTAATGGAAAGCTTTACTAGTCTTTAAGAAAAAATTTAGAAAAACATAATTTCAGGAAAACTCAGCTTGTTAGGCAAATCGGACCTTGCATACTAGACCAAATAGTGCGTTCAGGCTATTAGGTACAACACACACAAAAGTCCACGAATTGACAACCATATATTAATTTTGTTTATTTTATTTAAAAATGATATTCTCTATTTGACACAGACATGCACACAATTATTTTATATATATATATATATATATATATATATATATATATATATATATATATATATATATATATATATATATATATATATATATATATATATAATAAATTACAGAATTGCGTGAAGGCAATATTAGCTTTTAACTAAGCTTGTAATAATAAATCAAGATCGCGCTTCCTATTAACTTAATTTCATTTCGCCTCTACGTTCTTAGCGCGAAAAACAGTGGCAAAGTCAACGTCATCAAATGTATGCACTAAACGGGAGTGGCCACGGCGCCAAGCGCTGACTGGCGCCGAGTGTGTGGTGGGGAGTGGAGAGGTGGTCACCCTAGGGAAGTTTCCCGTCTGCTTGGGTATTTTATTGTGTACTTTGGGGGCATGTTTTGAGTGGGGAGATATTTATGACTTAACAGACTTTAGCCCCTTGTGTAGTTTATGCGGTTTAGAGACGACCTCGTGCGAGAGGGGGGCCCCGTGAGTAGCGCATATTCTGCTACTGTTGTATGCTGATTGGGCGGCGTTGTTCACGTCACTGATGGGTTCTATGCTGCTCGCTCTCCCTATCCACCCCTCTCTCCCCTCTTTACCATCTCTCCTCCCCGTTCACCCTTCCTCCTCTCTCACCCCTCCTCCTCCTCCTCTCCCATCCCTCCTCCTCCTCCTCTCACCCTTCCTGGTCTCCTCCTGATGATTTACGAGTGTAGCGCCAGGATCTCCAGTGCGAATAATTAGTGTATGGCACACGGACCACTGACCCGCACAATAACGTCAAGTGGCTAATTGTCGACTCCATAATGGCCACAACCAATCCTCACACTGCCACCCATTCCCCCGCTCTCTGCTACACAAGAGCCCCACCACAGTAACCCATTCACAGCCTTGAATGGGTTACTGTTACTACTAAAGTTCTACACCGAAGCGCTGCTCCAGGTCACAGTACTGTGGCTTCACCCGTGCTGTCAACCGTGGCAATTGGCATTTGTTTGTTTATGCTCCATAAACAGCCACCAAGATGGTGTTATCACCCATAACAGCTCCCTCGTTACATACCTTTGTCACATCTTTGGTTTGAACTGTGAGTCCCTTATAACTCTGATTTTAAACTATTTTTGTCCCTATTTTTTTCAAGTTCTGACTATCGCTTCCACCAGTTACCCCATTATCGATCCACTGGCTTGGCTTATCATAGGGTGACTCGGCATGGGTTCTCTCTGATGATGTCTCCTGAGGCGTGTTGTCCTGGTCTGCACCTAATCGTGGGCTGACAAGCCTAAACTAGGCTTTCCGCCCTTTACCTTAAAAGGGGTCATAAAGTCTAGGCTTCAAAAGGCTTCAAGTTCTTCAGCTAACAAGGTTCATTGAAGCCGTTCTCAAATAGCATCAAATATTTTTTGGAATGATATTTCTTGTTTGTGCTATTCCCAAATCAATATAGTAATTTTTTAATAGAGATAATAATAATAATTATTATTATTAAGTTTACACGTAGTGTAAACTACGTGTAAACTCGTAGCATTGAGGTTTTCCCCCTGGTAAATGTCGTTTTAGATTAGAAAGATTGTCAGCCCAATCAATTTGCGGTACGCAAATCCTCTCCATTCCTCATTTCGACCACACTAGCCTGTTTTCAGCTCCGGTCGCCCGCCTCAATTGTCTAGTAACGTTTGGCTGTATTTTGGTTAGTAAGCACAGCTCCTGGCGACTATGTTTAGCGTCACACAGCCTTCACTCGCTTCATTCAGCGTCACACAGCCTTCACTCGCTTCATTCAGCGTCACACAGCCTTCACTCGCTTCATTCAGCGTCACACAGCCTTCACTCGCTTCATTCAGCGTCACACAGCCTTCACTCGCTTCATTCAGCGTCACACAGCCTTCACTCGCTTCATTCAGCGTCACACAGCCTTCACTCGCTTCATTCAGCGTCACACAGCCTTCACTCGCTTCATTCAGCGTCACACAGCCTTCACTCGCTTCATTCAGCGTCACACAGCCTTCACTCGCTTCATTCAGCGTCACACAGCCTTCACTCGCTTCATTCAGCGTCACACAACCTTCACTCGCTTCATTCAGCGTCACACAGCCTTCACTCGCGTCTCAATGCTCTACGTAACATCCATTCACTTTGCTGTACATAATTTTCAATTGCTTCGCTAAGCGTGATAAACGCTCTACACTAGCCTTAACCAGTGCTACACATAGCCTACACTCGCTACTACACATGGCCCTACACTCGCTACTAGGTGCTACACATTGCTTTAATTAGATTTCCTCACTACCACACTCGAGCCTAGTCTCTACTCGCTGCAATGCCGTCATGGAGCACACAGCCCTCGCCTGATGTGCTCGGCGATACCTCGCAATCACTCCTCACAGAGATCACAAGCTGCCCTCGACAACGAGAGAGTTACACTCGCACGGCTAATAACGCTACACTCCCTCGCAACAATTCACGATGTCACTATGCGTGTACTACCTCGCTTCTCCCTGGCTTTCAGACTACACCTACCGTAGTACACTGCACACACACCCATTAGCAAAGCGCCTCCCTCGCCTTATACACCCTCCGTGTTAACAATATGCTTAGTCTTTGCCCCATTGTGGCCCCATAGAGGACCCACTCACATGTGTTGTGGCTACACCTAGCCTACACTCACTCCCATTGAGGAGCGGAGGCTGCGTCGTTTAGGCTATTTGGAATGGCCATTATATCACCGCAGGAGAGGCTGTTCATTTGACCGAAGCCGATCTTTTGTGTCCGGAGCGGCCGGCCGGGCCGTCCCTTCCTTGGAATAGTGGCGGTTCCCGGTACTCGCAGACGTCATGAATATTTTCCCGGTGAAGCGAAACACCGTTGGTTAATATGCCAGCCAGATGACTCGGAGATAGTTACACCCAATTTGTGACCCGTAGAAATATACACTTACTGTGTGGACGCCGCTCCGAGAGGGGTATATATATATATTCTTTGTTCAGACTTCTGTGGTATTGTAAAGTGTGAATGATAGTTTACAGACAATGAAATCTTCTGAGAATATTTGAGTGGAAAACTCGGGAGATGTGACTTGAAGAGAAGCAGACGGCGGTGGTGGTGGTGGAGCGCGTCGGGCCATCGCCACCACCTAACCCACTAGGACTCCGACGCCTAATCGTTACCGAATTTAATCGATAATCGCTTATTTCGCTGGCGTCGAAATGAGTCCCGGGCAATCAAACTGGAGATGCGGTTGGCACACACACACACACACACAGTCGTCATGCAGTTTACTCAATACGGAGGGGAGGGAGGGGGGAAGAGAACGCCGTGTAGCGCCGCTAACATCCGGCTGACGATCACAGATAACACAGTTTAGTATGTACGGATCTGCGGCACTTATGACAACTGTATTTTCGGGATTGGGCAGGCCGTGAGAGCCGACAGTGCGTACAATCGCGGCCCCGGACGCCTGCGTTCCAGGGACCTACAGGCGTTGTCCCAATCGACTTGAGAATGTTCCAGGACGGATCGAAACATCGTCGTCCCTTCATTTTCTAGTGTGTGGGGTCTGGTCAACACGTTGTGTTGTTCATCAACCTGAGCGGCCTTATTGTTCACTTGTTACAAAAAATGAAA